AGCCCTTTCACAAAAGAGGTTTATTTCCCTGAAATTTTCACCCACTGAAGAGAAACCGCATGACACCTCAGTCTACATATAATTCCCAGTTTAAATAGTGTATCACGTTTGGTTCAAGCCATCTGAAGTAGGGAGATTTTTTTTTTCCCCAGGGAGAGAGCTTGAAATGTCTGCCCCCCCGCCCTATTGTTAGAAACACTCAGCCAGAAATAATCCCAAACTCCACAATGCAGTGCTTCCAAATAATGAATATTGCTCTCATATTCAACAAGCAGCAGTGTTGCTGTAATATCTTAATATTCTAGTCAATCTACTTTTCCTAATTTGTAACAATTTCTCCTTCCTAACCATTAGAACAAGTCTATTGAATCTTAAAACTGCATTTTTAGACAATGGCTTGTTCTGATAGAGTAACTCCTCACATGTGCTGGGCTGATTTTATCTTAGAAAGAAAGTAAAAAATGTGTAAGATTTAGAAAAAAAAATGTAAAATAAATGCATTTCTAGAGCTTTATAAACATTCATGGGGCTAGATTCTGACCTTGCAAGATTTAATTATATTGTTTTCATTGCACTGGCCCTGACTTAAACCACTGTGAGAAAGATCAGAATTGGGACTCTTGAATTTGCTCATCAACTTCTTAAATTTTCATCAGGGTTGGGGGCAGGGGATGGGAATAGTTCTTGCAGAAAAGTATGGGTCAAGAAAGTATGGGAAGCTCTCCAGCTACACTTTAAATTGGGGTGTGAGGAAGGGAAGGGGACAACAGCCTTTCAGCAGGCAACATAAGGCCAATTTGTTTTTGAATGACTGGGAAGAGGCACACCTGCAGAATTGCCATATGACTCCATTTTCCCTTGCATAGGGCTGGTATGAGATGGCACAGACAACAAAACAGGGGGATGAATTTCAGTATTTTGAACTACCTCTGCCTGGGACATGAAAGGATGAACATCCTTGCAACAGCGTTGTGGACCAACCAGTGGGTGTGAATGAGCGTCACCACTCCACGGTTTGCTTATAGTATCATTCCCCACCTCCCTCCCCTATAGCTCATGCCTTGTTTGCTCTCCTCCTTGGTTCTCCAGCACATACAACCCATTTCTAGTTGCCTTCCTCAGAGGTTTTATTTTCTAAATGTTTTAACATTGTTCATTCTCTTGTCTGAATTATTTTTAACAGATCAGGATCCTTTTAAATTGTGCTGTCAAAAGAACACAAGGAGCTGAGCCAAACCAGAGTAGGACACTACCTTGGTTTTGTTTTGTTTTTTTTTAATTAATATGTTCCTTTTAATAGGACAATTAACATTTGCTTGATTTGTGCAGCCTCATTTTGGCAACTCATTAAGTTTGCCAGCCAGTCAACTGCCTGGCTCATTTGCTGTGGTGCTGCTGCTGCCAACTCAGGCTGTTTTCATTTTCACACTATGCTTGTGAATTGGGTTGTTCAAAGAAAGGCATAGCAGAAGGAATATGACAGAATCACAGGCAAGTAATCAGTTTCCCATTCCCATCCTGAAACATATGATCAGTGTGCAGATGAATTACCCAATTCTCCACTCAAACATTCAGTGAATTGTAGAAGTTGTATCCTTGTATCTAAATAAAAATGCACTTGATTAAACCTATTGGTCATAGTTCATCAAAAACAGGTGAAATTTCTTCTTGTGCAATTGATGGTTATAAATCATATTCGGGTCTGACCTGGAGATCAGATATAAGACATGGTTGACGGGTATTTTATGGGTGGGACAGGTATACTGTCTGCCAGGATTGACCAGTTTAGGATGACAGCAAGGGGCATGAGAGATGGACAGCTTGTCTGGGTAATGATGGTCAAAAGCAAAAATGTAGGCGCTCAGATGGAGCATCAGAGGATGCTATAAAGACTGATAGCACAGAGGCAGTGTCCTGCTTTCCCATCTTAAAAACTTACTTTTAAATCAAAATACACTGTATATCCTACAGGGGCTTGTGCTTTTCCTATCAGTCATCAAGCTGTTTTACTGAGTCAGCCTCATATCATCACGTGGCAAAAAATAAACAGAAATGAAAGCTAGCATACTTGCCTGGATCGCTGGCTAATTAATTGAGAGCAGGACTGTAATCCCAACTGTAAGCAACAGAAGCTCCTGGAGGCTTGGACTGAAGGCCCAAAGCGAGAAAGAAGGGTAACAAACCATGCATCAGAGGGAAACTGGATTTCATGTTAGAGACAGTGGTATTTCAAACTCCCTGGATACAAAATATCCCCAGGCACAAAGGAAGATTGATTCTAGAAGAGATCTTTGTAATTCAGCCCCATCTCTAGCCAGGATTGGTAGTGAGGGGCACATTACTGCATTAGAATACTGCTTTTTTCATTTGACTGCTACTGTAATTTGGGAGAATAATTCATGTGGGAGATGAACAACTTGTTTCTAAAATGCTCAGAAATTGTGCACAGAAACATTTTAAACAAGTTATCATGGTTTGATTATTTAGTTCCTATAGGATACCTAAAACAGGATATTAATATAGAAAGAATATTAATCTTTCTAACTGCATCTGAAGATAAAAGTGACCTTCCTATCACTAGGACAACATATGGAGCTGTGCATAATTGCATTTACAAAGTGCAGAAAGGAGATGATGATTCTCCCCTCCCCGCCACACCAAGCTACTGAAAAGGGCATAGTAATTTAATGCTGTTTCTCATGTTAGAAGAGAGTTTTATTGCAATTCAGCAAATAAGCTACATCCATAAAACTGCTTCATAGTTTCAAGTTACAGTTAATGCTCAACTGACCTGTTACAAAAAAGGAGTACAGTACCAGGGTTTCCTGATCTCAGTCACCGTAATGTAAACTTCTATGCCCACCTTTAAAAAACAACATTCCAGTGTATTCTCCATGTAGTAAAATATATGATTTTTACCGTAACTGATGCTGCATCTTGATTAGATTAAGAACTAGTCTCTACGTATAAAAGGAATAAAGAACTACAAAGATGAGAAGTACATGTACAATATCTTCAAGTATTTTCAAGTCTCCTACAGTATCTTGCACTAGTGACAAAAATCTTTTGTCAATACACAGATGAGTCAACTCTTGCTGAGACTTTAATTGAAGAAGCAAAGCCTTTACATACTCAAATCAACACCACACCAAATATATGGAACTCTTAAAATATTCGGTCCCTGTTATACAATTCTTAAATTAAAAAAAATACTCTTCACAATGGAAAAAGTACTGGAATGGTTTTCAGTTCATGAACAATATGCTTTCAATTACAGAATGTGATAAAAAGTTTAAGTTCACTGTAGATAGTTTTAAAATCAAATATTTAAAACAACTATTACCTTTAAAGGTAGTAAAGTCTGAAACAACAAAAACAGTCCTGACTATTTGCTGGGAGTTTGTACATGTGCCATAGTCTATACTATGCTACAGTTACTAAATAAAGGAAAATTAGCAGGTAGCATTTCTGCCTCATTTTTTTGTCTCACAGCTCAAAGACGTGAACATGAAAAGAGCATTTTAAAATTTATTTTAATATGTTACCAGCTAGTTTATAAGCCACTTAGCTTTACCCATAAAATTTTCACCCCCTACAATAATTGTATCAATAGTATTATCAAAATAGTGCTGAAGTTGACAAGTAATATTTTTTTTCACAGTAGCTACATCAAAATTGATACCCTTATGTTAGTATGAGTTCTAAGCCTTTTCTTTCTCGTTCTGAAACAGTAACAGAACAAGGGTCACACCATCTAAATTACCTTGCTGCTCACTTCTTACCAGTAAAGAAAGTGTTTTAAAGTGTTTTACTTAAAAAAACAAAAACAAAAAACAACCCCCCAAAAAACAATGCCCCCCTTATTTTACAAAACTTTGGCTATCAGTGCAGTGGGTACACCCTGTACTGTCACCTGGAATTTCCTGATGCAGTGACCCTGATTTTTTCCTTCATACATTAACAGAAGTGACTCATGATAAGATGCTGCATGGAACCGCAGACATGTCTGCAGCTCATTCTGCCAGCTCAAGTTGTTTACTACAGAACATTGGGCCCTGATCCTACCGCATCCAATATAGGCCAAGTAAGCAGATTATATACACCAGGATCTGTATGAAACATCATCATGAGGTTGGTGGCTACTACAAGCTGCAGTTTGGAGTATTTCCAGTCTACCATGAGACAGAACTGCAGGTGAAAGAGTGACTTGAGGTAATATGGTTTAGACTATGCTCAGCATCTCCACCTCTGGGTCTGGGCACTTTGACACACTGGGTTTGACCACCACCCAAAGAACAATTGTCCGACATGATATCCAACACATGTGGCACTCAGAAGTCAGAGTACCACCTCCACCCTGGGTTATATCCTTGCAACCTTTTGCCACAAACAATGAATAAAAAAAACAAGACACCCACCATCACTCATTGACCACATTAGTTATGTCTACAGAAAGATAAGAAGCTCCTGTTATTTTGGGGTTGGCTAAAAGGTTTTTCCCATCCTTCCACCCACCATTATTTCTGCCTATGGTTGATCTCTGCAAGTTACATCAAGATAAACACCACTGCCTTATATGCACAGTACGAGAAAGATTGAGGTTGGTTCATTGTCAATTAAAAGTCTCTTTTCCTAATGTAGAGACATCGATTGCAAAATATATAGGCTTAATGAAATCTGCTGGAGACTGCACAGGAATAAATGGATTTAATAGAAGTGGGGTTTAGGGCTGAGGGTAAAAGACTTCTGTTGCTGTTATATTTTCAGGTTGGATAAAATTACAGAGCAAAGATTGACTACATATTTTTTTCTTTCCGTGATTAAGAGGAAAGAATTACTCTGTGAATGTGGATACAAATTCCAAAGAGTGGAAAGGTGTTAATCTATCCAGCGTGAAGAGACTGTGCGCCTGTAGTTTGGACACCATCCTTTCATTTTCCCCACAAAGCTAATATGCATTCAAAGCAAGACCTCATTTAGACAAAACTAAAGTGTAAAAGTGAAAAAGAAACATCATATATTTTTAATAAAGAAATAAATAGGACAAAAGTAAAAATAGTCAAAAATTTAATGCATGTGCTATACCTTTCAATTATGGAAATAAAACTAATCACAAGATGTCATTAAAATGCAGAAAATAAAGAAAAGGTGCTACAGTATTGTACAGATTGACAACCAAGAACAACTTTAACTCTATTCCTTATTATAAGAGACACGTTGCTGAGAAGTTGTACAGCGGAGACCTCTTAAGTACACAGCCTTTGAGGTTCTATATAGTAATTTGTGATGCTGCCCAAGTTTGTTTCCTAAAACAGGGATGCACTTCATAAGAGATTTTAAATCAGAGGAGTCAAATGAATAGGGCTGCCTCAAGGCACTTGCCAAATCCCATGCTTTGTAATACAATAAAAGCCAAGTATCTTGACAATGATAATTTGAGAGTGGGTTAAAGCCTTTTCAGTTAAGATGCACAAAACATCAGACAAGCCAAGAGCTTGAAAACGTAGTACATAAGAGCACTATTGATTCAAAGGAAAAATCCTCACCACACTCATCTTGTTAAGGAAAATTAACATGAAGTTAGGAAATGGTGATATGGAATTAGATCAAGGATAGCATCATTACTTCATGGTGGCATAGACCTCTTCATTCAGCCATTGTCCTCTTTGCATTCATATATGTATTAAAGCTGTTGATGTTGGAGGCTTACAGCCCCTTTAGCTGTTATCATTTTAAGAGGGTTCCATTCAAAGGTGTGAATTTTGAAAGGATGGTGCACACAAACATTTTTGGCAGCAGACACCCTCTTATTCCAGGCCTTTTATTTAAGTGGGCTACACTGTAAGCTCTAAATTGCAAACATAATATAGCAAGTTATATTGTATAACATTATTTAAAGGACAAACTTACAAAACACAATAATAGGTTAAATAAATAAAAAAAGTCAGTTAAAAACACGCTTACATTTTCCTCTGTGCAATTACGTACCAATATGAAAAATATTACTTTGATCTCTGCACATTTCAGGATTCAAACTCCTTAAATCCACTAAAAATAATACTGACAACAAAAACAAAGAAAAGTAATTTGCTGACAAATCAGTGCTTTGAGACTTTTAAAAAGCACACACCAAAATCTGTAGCTTCCCCTTGCAGCACAACAGTGACCCAATGCATTAAAAACAAAATATTGGTAATAACGTTAATATATAAAATATTAGTTTAAAAACTATAGAATGACCTTCTTAGCAGAAATGGAGTGTATACATTAGGGTTCATGACATGCAGCACATCTGAAGGCAAGTTCAGAGGATGCTGAAAGGCTCACTGCACGTTATCTATGGCAAGGAAATACTGCAGCTTTAAAATAAGCTGCACAATACTCATCTCTTTCTCTTTCACATGAAAGTGTGTAAAAAGCAAATCAGCAAATAAACTCTAAAATAGATTTATACCAAAATCCTCTTTTTTACATTGTGTTTACAACTTCTATCCATTTTCCTGCACTAGTTTTGGAATTTCCTTCAAGAAAAGTAAAAGTTGTGTTGCATGGCCATGATCAAGATCATGATGCGACATGTTAGCATACTAATTTGACTTCCTCCTTGTTGCTTTTTATAGTATGGCTACTGACAGAGATTAGATGTCAATTCCTTTGACGAGGGATGCCTCCAGCGTGATATTGAACTCTTGCAAGGTCTGCAGCACTCGAATCAAGGAATTTACAAGGGTGTGATCCTTAATCAATGCTGTGTCCTCATACATCTGTGCTGTGATTGGACAGTCTGCAAGCAAGGCGATCCAGTGGTGCAAGAGGTGGTCTCTGGCCAGGCCAAGCATCAGGATTTAAAAAGAAAAATAAAACCAACTCAATCATATTTCACTAAAAATGGGACATTTTTTCACTTTTTAAAGAAACAGACCAGCTTCTCCAGATGAATATAACAACAGTGTAGTTAGAGAGCACCACCATCACCTTCCCAGCCTGGAGGCCAAACATTTCAAGGAGATTAAAACACTACAAATCAATGCATGTGAGCTGATCCTCCCGCCCATTTTGCACTTCCCAGGCACTACAAGGGGAGCAGAAGCTATCCCTGCCAGTCCTCTAATGAGGAATCCCCAGGTACCATAAAGCTGGTTTCTTATACCTCTCGCCCCATAACTACTATTCTGCTAGGTAGGGGAAAGGAAAGAGTTGGCTGCTCTATCTTGAGCTGGGGCAGAAAATAAGGGACTCCTAACCAACTGTTCATTCTTGATTCTTCTCCCTTATCTTCTGGACTGAACTGGCCAGCTATCCTCTAAGACTTCACTTAGGCTCTAGCACAGCCACCTGAGCTCTCATCCTTCTCTCCTTACTTAACTGCTCATTGTTTGTCATTATTTTGCACTGTGCAATTTTCCTGAGCATCATGTTTTCCATAGACAGTTACCCCAAGACTTTAGAATACTTGAGATGCATTTTATTTAATGCTACCTTTTATCTGAGAAACAGGTGTCTGAGAAGTTTGCAAGCATCAGCTGAGCTTCAGAGCACAAACAGGTTTGTGGACATCTCAACAGGGACAGATCTAGGATTTTGTAAAGCGGGTGCAGGAGCAGCAACTGGTGCTGAGGGCAGGGGGTGACTGCACTCTTTGCTCCCAGCCTCCCCTTTCCTCTTCCCCTGGCCAGGCAGACCATGCCACAGGAGCAGCAGGCAGGGTCTCTTCAGTCCCTCAATCACTGATATTCTTCCCTTCCTCCTCCCTTCCTCTTTATGCACAGCATGTGCCCTCCCCTCCTCTACCTGCTGTTGCCCTTTCCCCAATTCAGGGACTTAAAGAAAGTCCTTAGCTACTACTCCCATGGCATCACTGACTGAAATGGGGGTGGAGTGTCCACACCACTGCACCCTCTCTGGATCTATCCATGTGAATAGGCGAGTCCTGAACATATGATTAAAAATTAAAATGCTCCTTTATACCTGGCTCCAAGGCACACCAACATCTGAAACTTGCCATCCTTCCCAATGTTTCTAGGAGTGTTGTTGATTGCGGTGATGAACCGACAGAAGTTCCTGGCCCTTGTCTGCCAGTTCTCCTCTGGGACCATATCATTCTGATCAAGGGTCTCATAATAGTTTTGTGCTTTTTCTTAAGAGAAAGAGAAAAAGTAGGAAATAGTGGCATCTGATCAATGGAAATGTTAAATCACTAAATATCAGCCATGCAACAGCAGTATCCAGTAGTTGGAACAGAGGACTGGATGACAGGCCTTCTGGATTCTATTCTGGTAAGACTGCAGGCTTACCTAAATATGTCTTAGTACAGTGCCTACCTCACAGGTGCATTCTGAAGCTGTAGCAAACATCCGTAAAGCAATTTAAGACTTTCAGCTGATAGTCTCTACATACAGAATGGGACGGATTGTCTGGTGGACTGAGCACTGGACCAGAACTCAGGAAACTTGAGCTCAATTCCCAGATCAGCTGTCAGCTTCCCATGTGGTTTTGGCCAAGTTCCTTATTCTGGTCTGTGCCTCAATTGCCCATCTGTAAAAAGGGGACACCACCTCACTGCCTCATAGATTCTATGATAAAAATCCATTGGAAAGTGAGATGCTCAAAAATATGGCAAGCCCTAGCAATACCTAGCTAAAACACAGACGTGCTATTAAACTGATTCCCTTTTTAAAGGTGAGTAAATAAACTGAATATATAATCTGTTTGGAGCATATAAAGTGGACTGCTGTGTAAATATCATATACAAAGCAATCTTTTAGTGAGATGTTCAAAGACTACAGATTCATAGCTTCTTGTGTTTTTTATTAAGGCTCAGATGGTAGCAGAGCTTCATGTATTACTGATTTCACACTACTCTACTGAAAGTAACATAAGGCTACCATAATCCAGCTTCCAACAATATTAGAAAACTCCTTAATACTCATTCTACTATCATGCCTCTTACACAGTGCAATTCATCTGACATAAAATATGCCACAGTTAATAGAAGCACAATACAGAGGTATTTTGTCCTGCCAGCTATGGAAGAAGGAACTCACCAAGTCATCTCCTTAATTAGTATAAATTGGCACAGCTCCAGGGGACTGAGGATCTGACCCACAGAGTGGTGCTAGAATTTAGAATCCAGATGCATATGCTTTACTGTCCTCATACTTACCTAAGAAGTCCCAAATGAAGACATTCTTGAAGAGCCTGGGTGATTTAAAGCCATGTTGAAACACCTGCTCAAGAGCTGAAACGAGTCCACCTTCGCCACACAGCAACAGAGTCAGACTGCCTCTCTGCCAAAGATGCACCGGAACAGAGTACGTTCAGCTCATCAGTTTGGATATAGAAAACTGTAATGCTCTGTGTATGTAAATTACTATAAGCAGCATTTAAAAAAAAATGGGTGCCTTAAGTTAGACTAGAGGCAAGGATTTCTTAGGGTGCTATCTTTTATTGGACCAGCTATATAGTTGGGATAAAGTTAGACAAGCTTTTGAATGCATGACATTCTTCCTCAGGTCTGATCACAAGAAGCCAGAGACAGCATCCTGAAAAACAGCAGTGGGGACCGAGTGAGAGAAATTCCCAAGGGTAGCAGACACACAATTAGCTGAAGAAAAGAAGCCAATTACTGGAAGATCAAGACCTATCAAAAAGGGAGGAGGCTCTTTCCTGCATGGAAAGAATTCAGGAATTATGTAAAATAAAATATGACATAACAATAAATATCAATGTTTAGTCATTGCTTCTTAGTGTCCAGACAGATTATGAATTTTTGTTCTTAAATTTGCCTTTTAAAGGTGTTAAGTAGATTTCTCTTGAGCATAAGGATAGAAAGGTCAGAGGGAGTGGCTGTTCTGTGAAAAATGTGCTCCTAAGCGTGTGCATGTGTCTCTGTCCTTTATGTTTTTTTGTCAGAGTTCATTCTGATACACAGTTGTTTAGTTTCACCCACACAGTTCCCATGAGATCACCTGGTGCACTGGATCAGGTATATCACATTTTCGGAAAGGTGTGTGTAGGAACCATGGATTCTGATGGAGTATTTTATGTGGGGGTATTGATAGTAGCAGCAGTGGAGAGCATTAAGCATTTCTTAATAAGGCAAGGTTATGTCCCACTTGATGTTTGTTGGGCAGTGGAGAATTCATTTCTGATGGTGAGCTGGGCAAGTTTAAGGGGCTGTTTGATATCCAGGACCAGATGGGCATGCACTATTTCTCTCAATGTCTGACCTTGAGAGAAAGGAATTAACTATCCCAATACAGGAAGGTTTACCCACGTTTACTTGTAAGTTTCCTTTCTTTGAGAAATTACCAGGGGTACTTCAAGCCTGCCTGAAGATCAACCAGGACTATTGAAATCCATCTTATTACAGACTGTGTTAAATGGCATTTGAAAAAAAACAGCAATTTCTTCCATTGCAGACAATAAGGAATTCTACCTACCAATGACCTATTGCATCCCTGGGTGTTAATTTCCAACTCCATAATCTATTCTCTTCAAGGTTCACTGTACTACTTGAAGGAAATACATTTTATAATAAGGAATACTTTTTCTGTTCTTCTCTGTGCTAAGGCCTACTCATATATTACCATGGGATTTCAAAGCAGCATGCCTTCAAAGGGGAGCAGAATTATTCCATAAATATACAGCTCTAGCACAAGGCAGATGGGTAAGATGTAAATAAAACCCCTTTTCATTTAACATCCTGAAAAGCATACAATAGAGTCTACTTCTTTGCTTGGACACTCATACATCCATATTCAGGGTGACAGCAGGAAACACAAGACTGTCACTAGTTTTGCATGGTAGCTAAACTGGATTTTACACCAACCAAGTTCTACCTGCCAACTTCCCTTTTAAAAGCTCAAGGCCAATAAATCACTTCACCCAACTACTCATTTTAAATCTGTCCAGTCCTGCCCTCATTGTGCAAGAGAAATACCTGAAGATCCCATGCCAATTGCACCAACCCCTTCAGCAAGAGAGCTGTAACATCTTCAGCAAAAAAGCAACATCACTACTACTTTTTGTGCTGAGAAACAGTGAATAAAGCAGGAAGATTTATACAGACAAGGTTCTTTGGGTGAATCTGATATCTTTTATTAGACCAACTTAAACAGTTGGACAACAATTATTAAGCAAGCTTTCAGGTTCAAAAACCCTTTGTCAGGCTAAGAAAGTTTCAGCAGTTGGTGTGTGCTCTTCCTGGATGGAATGAAAAGTAAAGAAGCCAGAGGCTGGGCTGGTATGCATGCAAGACAGGCAGTCAGTGAAAATGTAGACTGAGGAGTCACTGGGTGAGAGACAGGCTGGCGGGGAGGGAGGGGAGGAAAAGAGAGAAGGGGGACAAAGAGTGGAGAGATACCTAGGGAGTCAGATGTCAATTTATACAGCAGGAACTGGGCCAAGCTTTTTACCATGACACATGGGCTTTGACATGGAAGGTACAGAGCACTTTATTCACCATTGTCAGATGCAAAAAGGTAGGTTCTCAAGCCACAATTTGAGTTACAGTGAGCAACAGGTTTGCTGGGTCTAGGAACTACTCTGCTAGTCTGTCTTCTGCTGTGCAGTTGTTAATGTTTATTCCCCATCATGGCTTGGGTAATACCCATACAGATAAAAATCCTTGTCCAGAACAGGAAACTTGCTCTCCAAGGCAGAGCCAATTGAGTTTTTCCCCCATTTACTCTGGAAACTCTCTCAGACAATAACAAAAAATACATCTGTTATTCAAACAAGGAACAGGGTTCCAGACCTGAACTGAACCATCACGGTAGATGTTGTTTCTGGTACACATTCACTGAGCTGAACTAGGAAGATCCCTTAAAAGGAATTAAATTATATGTATGATATTATATGTTTTGCCTCCACTTCCCCAGATCAGACCTAAAATGATGCTTAGGAAAAAAATGAGTGAATTTTCTTCTTTAGGAATACTATTGCTTCCAGGATTCAGGACCAAGATCCCAGAAGCTACTCAAAATCAAGTGATAATCATCAAGCTTGGAAAAAAAGAAAAGGCTGCCACCATTTGGGAAACATAAACACTGTCAAGCAAAATGGGAATGCCTTAGGGAAAAAAACTTCTATTGGGAACCATTTGGAGGGTTCAAACAGAACCCTGCTCTGGTTTTCCAGTATTGCCTGAGGTTAAAATAACTTGAAGTAGGTAGCAAAGCTGTGCTGAAGTAAATAAATCAGGGACTTTATTCATTCTGAGACTTTTCCCTGAGTTGCCAAGTCTGGCATGGCTCCATGAGGTACTCACTCGCCTAGTTAATACCCAGTAACCTGGGGATCAAAGACAGAGGTAGCGTCTTTCTCGTGCAGCTGACAGAGCCGGGCACCAACTGGGACTTAACCTAGATGAGACTTCAAGACCTGAAGAGCATACTGAATGCTGCTATTACAGCTTCTGCATTTACTCTATTTACCTATTTGAAAAAAGGTATTTTCTCCCTCACCAAGTGCTTATACATACCATACATACACACGTGAGTATATATAAACATATATATGCATGTGTGTGCACATATACACCCCCCTTCATTCTCTTTTTCTCACACTCTCAGTGCAAGAAGGCATACATATAGCATGTCTAAGGCAGATTGCTATCATGCAGTGTTACAATATTTCTGATACCTTTACTGGCAGTCTATACTCTTGTGATTATTAATACAAAATGTTACTACTTGAGTTTTTCTTCAATTTAGACTGCTGTCCTTCCCCTAAGGAGAGAGAATTTGCATTGCAGGTCTGTGCATGCATGCCTAGAGGAAATAGCACATCTATAACCTGGCCTTTTTTCCTTTGATCTACCACGCTGCACTGCACAACAGTGAGAAAGCTGAATTGTGTTGATTTTATTAGTTTGTCCCTATAATCACTGGGGAGAAGGATGAAATTAGGCTTAAAGGGGCATTTTTTAAATTTGTTTATTTATTTATTTATTTATTTT